GTCCCTGGCGCTGTGAGGCAGCAGTGCTAACCACTGAGCCACCCGTGCCACCAAATCTGGGTCTTTACATTAATAATCTAGTAATAAAATCTTCAGGCCACCAGCTCCCCTCACAAAGCAGCCTGTGCACCCTCAAAAGGGCAAAGATGCCCTCAGTCTGTCACCTATTTTGAACGATGGCATTGCTGGCAGTACAGTACTCCTCACTATCGCCTGTACACAATGAACAGCCGAGATTACATGCATAAGGCTGGGAGTGGGGTTTCCATCTGACTGAAAGATATTAGTGCTACCACTGAACCAACGGAGAGAACTAATCTAACATCAAGTACAACACCCTGCACTTGCATAGCAAATACTCTGGGCAAATACTCAAATATTGCGAATACATACTGCTCGCACTTCATGTTAAATTGAAAGGAAGTGACAAATAAAATCTCAAGACTGTCGATGAAAGTATTTGATTGATCAATGACATTCCTTTAATAGGACTATATTCAATCAAATTTTGACCGAATGTCTTGGTTTATCCAGATAATGTGTTATTTATGCCTTGATTCACATGAAGCATGTTTGTGTTCACATGATTTCACTCATTTGATTGTTCAGTGAGTTGTATTTAATACTGATAATAATGTAATTAAATTATCTCACTGGAGCTATCCCTCCTGTATAAATATTAAATTCAATCGACTGCATCTTACAATTAGGCAGAGCTTTTGCCTCCATCGTTAATGCAAACCATCAGCTCTCACAGAAAATGCGCGAACCAACAGTATTCCATCAGATAGAAGACATTTACTACACAGTCCTTGCTTTCGTTGGAATTCCTGGTAAGAACTTGCTCATCACTTCATCAAGTGAATGTGCATTGACATCTCTCACAAGTGCAAATTAAAATGTTTAGTCATGTCATTTTAGACCATAAGATATAAGAGCAGAATTAGTCTATATGGCCCATCGAATAGCTCTGCCATTTGACTGATATATTTCTCAGTCCCATTCTTCTGAACTCTGCCCACGACTGTTCATCTCCTTACTAATCAAGAACCTATCTATCTCTGTCTTAAATACACTCAATGACTTGGCCTCCACAGCCTTCTGCGGCAATGATATTCGTAGATTCTCCACCCTTTGGCTGAAGAAATTTCTCCTCATTTCCATTCAAAAGGGTCGTCCCTCCACTCTGAGGGTGTGTCCTCCAGTGCAAGTCTCTCTTAATAGCGGGAACATCTTTTCCATGTCCTCTGTATCCAGACCTCTCAGCATTTTGCAACTTCCAATGAGATGCCCCCCTAATCCTTCTAAACTCCATCGAGTACAGACCCAGAGTCCTCAAGCCCTCCGCATCTAGTTACTGAGGTGGTAAATTGATCACTTGTCATTTAATCTGTTGAGGTTTTGCCCTCCCTCCAGGTCTTCAGTATCACTGTTAATTCAGATGAACAAACACTTGTATATTTACAGTCAGATACAGTCACAGTATTGGACCCAAATTGGAACAGAAAAAGAATAGAGTTAAAATGAAATATGGGATGAATTGAAATAGAGAAAAGGGACAGAAACAAAAAGATGAGTTTGAAGATTTCATATTAGAATTCTTTCAGATCTGTGTATGTTGATTGCCATTGCATTAAAAGAGATGACATTGTTGAAAGAGTAATTATATGGTCACCCAATACTTGAAGGGCTCTTGGAGTGTTATGGTTATGTCCTTACTTTGAAGACCAGCTGGTCAGTGTTCGAGTCCTACCTACATCAGAGATATGTCCCTAACGTGTCTGAGGCAGTTGATTTAAAATATCTACCTACGGTGTTCCATATGAGTTCTGACCTTCTACAGTAAATTAAATGATTGATAAGCTTTGTTTAAAATAACGGTGAGGTTGAGGAAAAGGTAATTTTTTTTCTGTGAGATCGAAGGGACGGTCACTAAATTTGCTGATGGCACAAAGAGAAGCAGGAAGGTGAGTTGTGAAGAGAACATAAGGCACCTACAAGGAATATAGACTGGTTAAGTGAATGGGCAAAGATCTGATAAATGAAGTATAATGTTGGAATGTGTGAGATTGTCCATTTTGGCAGAAAGAATAAAAACAAGCATATTATCTAATGGTGACACGTTGTAGAGGTCTAAGATGCCAAAATATCTGAGCATAATAGTGTATGAATCACTGAGAGTTAGTATGCAGCTACAGCAAGTATTCAGGAAAGTTTATTGAATACCATGTAAACTACAATATGTGTAAAATTATTTCTAGCACACAGAATTAATATGTGGTATTTGCAGTTGAGAAATATTTGTAAGCACCCTGTTCAGAGGTGGATTATATATATCTGGATCAGGTGGGATCTGATCTTTGGCCTTCTGACCAGCGGTCCCTCTAATTTTCTTACCAGCTGATGGACCTCTGTGGTCCATGTGCGGCAACAACTTCCAGATCCGGACGTCAATGCTGCGTTCAATGCTATGTTGATTCTGACTGACATGTGCAGGACCTCAGAGTGGCTGAGTGGAAATGTTGCTCCAAAACTTTCCATCTATCAGCAAAACCCTCCATACCCCTCTCCCTCATCCACATATTTAGTTCCACTTAACTTCATCCATACCTTTCACCTGAACTAATCCCTGTGCTAGAGACCCCTTTTATTCTTGCTACGCTTTGGGTTAATATGTCAAAACTGACAGCCTCTAGTGTTGCTGGTCCCAATAATTAGAATCACACTCCCTCTCTCTGTCTACTCTACCAAAGCCCTTGGTAATATTGACACAGTATTGTGAGGGACATTTGTGGGGAATGTTGTCAAAATGAAATAGGACCTGAACAGGTCATGATCAAATTGAAACGATCAGGTCTGAACAGCTGAGCTCCTACCTCTGGCCCATCTGCAGCCCCCACTTAGTTTGATCAGTCGATACACTCCACCACAACATTCACTGTTTGAGCGGGAACACACACACAGAGGCATACATATGTGTACACAAACACGCACATTGGATCACACAAACTCACAAAGACGCATACACAAATACAGGCACACACACACATACACCAGAGACATGCATATACGTATAAAGACACACACAAGCCCAGACACACACAAAAGCCCCCAAACACACACAGACACATATTCCAATGGTGACAAATTGACATTGTTTTATGAAGCAAACTACCATGTTTTATCGTTCAGATTTGACATTACAGTTTCTTAAGAGAAAGTATTCCAGAATGATGAATACAGGCACGTTATTAAAATGTACAAAACCCAACAGTAGACTGGTCCTCTCCTGTAAGTCTATAATCCACCAGGATTGCATCTTCTCTGTTCTTAAGACTTGCCCAATTCTGAACAATTGACCATCAACTCTATCGGCCATCATTCCAAGCCCCTCACACACTCTGAACTCTGTGATGACCATAAAACCTGTATTCATTCTGATGCTGACCCTCAGTACTACATACTGCTGTATAAGACAGTTCACACCCAGGAGGGTTAGCTGGCATTTTGAGCTAAGCTTCACCTATCAGGGTATAAAGGAGCCTATTTGTGGGAATAAACAAGCTAGAATGGTTCTTGTTTGTTAACATGTGACTCTGGGTGTCTGAGTGTGTGTCTAGTTAACAGAATGTTTCAGTCATGGTAATGTGCACTTACTCTTCGGTTTTGCTGATAGTCTGTCAGAGACTTTCATGTATCTCAGATGTAATCAAACTCGTTGACCTTCAGCACTACAATACATTCAATGAAATAAACCTTTACTCCTCATCAAGATCAAGTCCACTTACTGCCAAAGACTTTGTGTGGATATCCTACCCCACATGGTACCAGTAAGGTTAGACTGCTTCAACAAGAAATGGCATTCAATTGGCAGCCCACTATTATAATACATACTGCTATTCACTAGGATTTAATCTGTTTATTAATTTATTAAAATTCAAAATGATTATCGTTTTTTGCAATGTATGTCCTGGCTAAAATGTGAAGACTTTTATAAAGGAACCAATTGGCTTAACGTTGTTGTCAGTGAAACATTCACTTTTCCAATTAAACATAAATTCTTCTCAAGCTGGGATTACTATATATCCTTGATCATTGGCCTGGATTTTACATGTCATTATTCCTGCATGGACCCTATGAAATCCCTATCATAGCCCACTTCAAAGAAACTGCCTGGGAAATTCTTCTGATCAATTCCCCCTTAATCTTGATTCTGCTGATCTCTATTCAGAGCAGAAAATTAGGAAGTTTCTGCTGAAGTTAAGTGACTTGTTATTTAGGAAAAGTTAAACCAGAAAACACTCATCCAACTCCTGAATAGCTATTCGACTAACTCCATACTCACCTTACATTTCGTTAACTATATCCCTCCAGACACCACACTGAGAATCTCACTCTATCCTTGGATGCCACCACATTCAATCAGTGGACCTGACACCCCTCTCCCCACCAATGGAACTGAATACACTTTTCTGAAAGACGGGCCCCCCCCAACCCCCAAATCTGACATCAATCCTCCCCACGCCACTAGCAGGTCCGGTTCCCACCATGATCTAACCCCCACCCCACCACACACACTCTGTGATAACCCAAAAGCACCTTGTAATGTAAACAGCAAAATGGTACCAAGGTTGATCAGGTTACATTATAAGGAGGGACTTAGAAATCCAAGTTATATTCCTATGGATATGCAGGACTAAGGGGTGTTTGACTTGATGTGATTAAGCAATTCAGAGGTGTGGCATATAGGAAGAGTGAACCTATTTTCATCAGTGTGACAATTCAGAACAGCTTAAATATTTAAATTATTAAAACTGGCATTGAAGGGCTTTTTTTATAAACAGCAAGGATATTACATGTTAGAGAATGAGTACAGGCAAATGTAGATTATCTATGATTGGCAAAATATGGGGACAGCTCAAGAGGCTGAATTAATGGTTATTTCTACATTCTTATAATATTTTCTGGGATGTCTATATATAAATGCTTTGGTCTCTGAGATGCCTAAATATAATACCATTGCTGTGTTTGCATTTGTTTCAGTTAACTTAGTAGCCATTCTCATCCTGGCACGTGACAGATGTGGACTCTCCAAATGTATCACCCATTACCTGGTAGCCATGGCAGTTGCAGATCTACTGGTCATTTTCACTGATGTGATACTGTTTACTATGATCCCTTTTAATTTCCCAGGTACTTACCTGGACACCACTCCTGCAGTTTCTCTTTCACATGTCCTGCTTTCTGCTGCCACAGATGTTTCCGTCTGGGCCACCGTCAGTTTCACCTTTGATCGATTTGTTGCAATTTCTTGCCAGAAACTGAAAACAAAATATTGCACAGAGAAAACTGCAAATGTGGTTATTACAACAGTGAGTGTAGTGTTCTGCTTGAAAAATATTCCTTGGTACTTCATATTTGAACCTGAATATGTAATTGACAATGTGCCCTGGGGGGGTATTGAGTCAGTGAGTTTTTGCACTGATACTGTGTGGATAAGCTTTGATACCCTCTGTATTATTTTAACCCCTTTCCTCCCATTCATTCTGATTTTACTGTTCAATGCTCTGACTATCAGACACATTTTAGTGGCCAGCAGAGTCCGCAGGAAGCTACTGGATCACAGCAAGAGTGAGAATCACACTGACCCAGAAATGGAGAGCCGCAGGAAATCCATCATTTTACTATTCACCATATCAGGAAGTTTTATACTGTTATGGATGACAAATGTTGTGTATTTCCTTTATTGGCGAATTACAAACACTTATTACTACACAGGTCCCCATGATCCCGCATATATCACTGAACAATCTGGCTACATGCTGCAGCTTTTGAGTACCTGCACCAACACCTGTATTTATGCAGTGACCCAGACTAAATTCAGAGAGCAGCTGAAGAATGCAGTCAAATACCCATTCACTGCAATTGGTAAATTACTGAAATGATTGAAACACTTTAAAACAGTGCAGTCTTCTGGATTCATTTTTAACTGTTCTTTAGCATTCTATTTATTCATAAAGAATTTTGCAACAACTCATTTCATCTATATCTTTCCAAGTTCTGCAAATAGAATTGTCCTCTACTTTCCACATGGAACATCTTCTTTAATTAAAAACCAAAAGAACTGCAGATGCAGAAATAAAAACAGAAGTTGCTGGAAAAGTTCAGCAGGCCTAGCAGCATCTGAGGAAGTGTCACCGGATCCGAAACGTCAACTCTGATTTCTCTTCACAAATGCTATCAGATCTGCTAAGCTTTTTCAGCAATGTCTGTTGTTGTGTCTTCGTTATTTAGTTGATTTCATTTCGATCCTACCTGCCCAATATTTTTCCACCTACATCTACAGTTCTTCCCATGCTTTCTGCCACGTTTCCTCTTTCTAGTTTCTAGGCTTATATTGACGCTGTTTGCCTTGCCATTTCACTGGGGCTGAGAGCCAGGAGGCTTTTCATCGTTGACATGAGGTTCTCAGCCACGTCAACAGGTGGGAGCCATTTTTCAGGGCTTCTTGGCTCAGTCAGTCCAGGGTAGTCTTCGATACCAGTCCAAGTCCTGCTCGGGTCGGTCCGAGGTACACAAGGGGTGAGGAGCTGAACAGCGAGCAGCCCACCACCCATATTGACTCTTTCTGCCCTCTTCTGGACTGTTTTCTTCCTGGAATGAGAGAGTAGAGGGTAAAACAGTGGGTGACAGTGTGTGGCACCACTGTTACTGTCGGCGTAATGTGCATTTTTCCTGAGTAAGTGAGTGGGCAGGATTCGTGGTGTCGGTGAGACTGGGGTGGGTGAGTGGGAGTGGAGATGATGTTGCAGGCAACAGTGATCCCCTGGTAGAACATGACCCTGGGAGGGAGATGGGTGCAGGGGCAGAGATAGAGTGGGGGTGAGGGATCGGAGAGAAAATAGCGACACCTCCACCCATGGAGAAGGGTCCTTCCTTTCTTCCAACAGATAGCTGAGACTGGACTGACCAGGTGGAGGGCTGGGGGGTGTGGGTAGTGGGTCCAACCTGGGACCACTGCTGCTCCTGGGAGAGGAGGAACTTCCGTGTCTGAGGGATTTACAGTGCCTCACACACTGACAGAGACACACACACTTATACACCCGCACAGACTCTCACACACACTCGCAGGCATACTCACAGAACAAAATCCTCATGCACACATTCACAGATACACAGTCACACACACACACACACACACACACACAGACACACACACACAGACACACACACACACTCACTCACGCACACACGCTCACAAACTCATTCAAACAGACACAGATTTACACACCCACACTCACAGAACATTATGCATACATTCGCAGACACACACTCACACTTACACACTCGCGCACGCACACTCTCTCTCACACACACACACACACACACACACACACACACAC